ACAATAGCTGATTTTTAGAGAGCTGAGATGAAAACAACTTTTCTGTTTCTAGGGAGAAAAGTCTGATAATAAAGAGACTTGAGGTCACATTTACCATTCAGAGAATTTTTGCAGCCGAAATCCAGTCATTTCAATAGGAATCCATGCAATCTGAGAGCAGAACTTTCAACGGGTTCAAGTTGGTCAAGCTGATTCGCAGAAAGCTGCTTGGTTTAAAAATGCCTTCTGTGTGAGCTGTGCTTCATACTACGCTACAATTTTGACAATACACAGTGAAAATTTTGCTAATTTTTACTCTCCATTTAATCTCATTGCTTATGTTGAAACAGCTTAGATAGAAAGAAATTGCTAACACTTCGCAATAAGGTTTCATTTGCTAACATTAGTTCGTTAACATGACCTAACAATGAAAAATACTTCTAAAGCACTTATTAATCACCTTTTTATTAAAGCACCTTTTTATTTTTTTTTAAATATAAATTACTAATACATTATTAAAATCAAAAGATTTAATATTAGGGCATTTTACACCGGAGGAACATTTTCATAGTTCCTGTTATTGGCAGGGTAGTACCCACTTTTTGGCGTGTTTGGAACTGGAAACCATTTTAGTTATATAGGAAAGCCTTTTTGGGGGACTAAATTAGCCCCTACTTTATAGTCTGACCCAGTACAACAGGAACTACCAGTGACGTAAATATATGTTGATTAGCCGAATGCTTGTCATACAAATTGTTGAAAATGTGTTGCTCATTGTATAGTTAATGTTAACTAACGGGACATTATTGTAAAGTGTTATCAAGAAATCTTATTTATGATTTTTCTTTCCTATCATTTAGGTACTGTATCTATTTAATGACCCACTATTTCCACTTTTACAGTCATGCGTCCCAGGTCCAGATTACTGTCTAAACGCAGCCTTCCCACCATCAGGGAGGGCTATGAGGAGCTGGTGCAGGACCTGAACCAGACCAACAGCCAGCACACCACCACACAGGACTACTTCCTCTCCATCTGCCATCTGGCCCGGCCCACCTTCCCTCTGCATGAGCCCGACTGTGACATCCTTTCCATCGGCCCTTTGGATTCCCCAAAGTCCTGCCTACGACTGCACCGCCTGCGACAGCATCTGCAACCTTCACAGCCCCACACCTCCACAAGCAGTGACCAGACAGTTGAACAAGCCCATAAAGAGAAAGATACCGCCAGATCTGCTCCGTCAGAACTTCTGCAGGCCCAGGCCACCCCAGAGGAGGACAACGGATGCAGAGGTGACATCCCAGGCCCTGCAGATCCGCTGGAGTACCTCTACAGCCACAGAGGTGCTCTAACGCTCTCCACCAGAAGGGGCAGCATTCCCCCGCGCCGGCCACGCAGCGACACCTTCCCATGCTGTTCCTCGGCACCTGGCGCCCAGCGGAAAAGCAGCTGCCCAGAGCTTTGCCTGCCCGAGACAGTCCCTGCGGCGACAGTCCTGCAGCGGTCACCGCTCAGCAGGAAGAAGCTGGATGAAGGCAGTTTGGCCACACGTAGTGGTATTCCCAACAAGCTCGATGGCGCCCCTGCTGGTTGGAGGGGAAAGAGCAGTCGTTGCATGGACAAACAGACCATAGTGTCCCACTGGATCTCAGAGTGCCGCAGCGCATGGAAGGAAGCCCACATTCGCGCATGCATGCTGCCCGCCATTGCCGAAAAGTAATCTACGGCTGCGAAAATCTCTTTCTGGTGAGGTTGAATATCACATAGAGTAACGTCGATTATTGTGGAATTATTACGTTGCAGTTCAAGTTTATATGCATATACATTTTTGATGTATTTTTAAACTTGTGACCCTATAGATGGTGCCGTGTTAATACCACAGCATAGTGTAGAGCTACAATGAATGTCAATGATGACTGAGTCAGTCCAGTAATGTCCAGTCATGATCAATAAATGCATTGATTGTTTGATGCCTTTAACATTGTTTGGTGAGATTTAAAAAATAAAAAATCATAATCAAAATTGCAGTTCTAATATATGAAACTCAATGTAGTTTAAAGATGACAGCAATCCATAATATTCACAGATAAGAATCTCATTGTGTCCACAACTATATTTGGCTGGGAAAGTTTTAGCAAATTTGCATATTAGGCATCTACTGTGATGCAGAATGAATATGCCATGCTTCCTTGAAATATTATCAAACATTTGATGATATTTCCAAGATTTTTTTAGGAAACAGGATCAGCAAACACTGGGATTATGACTAGGATTAGGATGTATTTCCACCATGGATATGTTGAGAGATATTATGTCCAATTGTTATTTCTATATAATGTCTCGAGCAAGTGCTTCTTCGTTCACTAGTATTTCACAACAAAATGGCTAAGCTGCCTGTAATAATTCACTGCCACATTCTGACAACAAAGACAAAATGAGTCATGTTGAAAATGGCTGTCATGTTTGTTTTCATGCCCTTGTGTTGCAGTTTTAAAAAATGGAGCATGGTGTTACAGCTTGCAAGCACAAATATCAGCTTTAGAGTAAACTGGATAGTTAGGTTGGAGGATAAATGATTAAATATCCTGGTTAGGAATCACCTTTGTTAAACAACAGACCATACAATAAAAAAATCTGACCTATATCATTTTGATATTCAGAACTATGGCAAAAGGCCAATGTAGAATTGCACTGTTATCATGTTAGACTGTTTGTACACACCCAGAAAATCCTGTCTTCTTTGCTTTGATTTGGTGTTTCAGTATTCTGAGATTGTCTTACTATTAAAAGATTAATTCATACGGCTGCATGTGAATTTGTAAATTATTTTGTATTCATGCATATTAAATTTCTTTAAATTATTATTATGGATGTAATGATTTGAGAGAAACTGTATATTACACCATACGAGAAAAGAAAAAATCTGTTGTTTGTAAAATTTTCAGCAACCTTGTACTTTTTTTTCAGTTTTTAAATTAATAAAATGTCTGTGTTTTATGTATGGATTCTGTGTTTTTTCCCCCTGTTCCATCAAGTAGATTAAAATTACAATGAGTCCTCTGAGACAATTAGTAGTCTATTCCATTAGCTGTAATGTTGATCAGACAAAACCTGTTAACCTGATGACTTTTACAATCTATTATTTATATCTATTTACATAAATGTTATTGATCAACAGAAAAAGCTAATGAACATTACGGTTTAGCGTAATGCCCTCTACAGGTGCAACTGCAATTTCACATGAAAATTATTTACAGTGATAAAATGCTGCAGTTTAGGTATGATTTATTTGAAATAATATTCATATATTCAACATTCAATATACATATTGTTTAAATAAAGGCAACAACACAGAGATCACATACAGTTTCAGTGCTGTTTTAGTTTATTACATCAATTGGAATATTTATTTGCTTTGTAAATTAATTCACTGTTTAACTGTTGTAATGTTATGCCATAATTTTACAAATGTACTGTATGTTGTTATTTTATATATGTGTATTATTTTATCTCACATGGCATAACTAAAGTTTATAGCAGGTGTTAACAGTGATTAAAAACTACAAATGTAAATGGGGCAGGGGTGGGGTGCTATAAACCATTCAAGTTCATTTGATTAGAGAGAAGAATTATCCCACCCTTGTGTTAATTAGCTGTGTCACACCCCTACCAAACACCAACACACTACACACAACACCCTCCATTTAGGGCGCTCCCTGTTGCTGCATTGTACCTTGGAGCAGCAAATCTGGTCAGATACAATTACTGCTGACCTGGATGGGTTAGGGTCGTTCACATTTTTGTTTGTAAGACAGACAGACAGACAGACGATAGAATATTACTAGGGTGCTGCTGTGGATGGTTACTTGGTGGTTGCTAGGATATTATGGGAGGTTCAGTAGACCTTATGCATCAGAGAAACAAGTGCGCATCAGCCATCTATAGAATTTTGTCTTTGAACTTCCGTTTTGAGGTATCTCTATAGCAGCTGGAGAAGTGGTGAATACATTTGTATCAGTATTTAAAGATTTATCAAAATTTTATCAAAAACCAACATTTTAAAAAAGGCCTGTGTTTGCTTTAAAAAAGCGTTCTGCATAAATGGCTCTTTAAATTGGCACCTGGCTTCACAGCACCCTTCAAGGAACCAGAAGTAAGTACTAGGGCCCCACTGCCAGGGCAGTGATAGGTGGGTGCATGGGGGCCCCTGTAGTGGTGTTGGTGTTTGGTGGAGGGTGTGACACAGTTGATTAACACGAGAGGGATGGGGTGGATATTCTTTCTAATCAAATGAACTTTAAATGGTTCATTCATTCAAACCACCCCACCAGTCTATGGTTACACCACATGAAATAAAAACCATAATGCATACACAAAATAATTAAGAGCATATATTTCCTTAAAATTATACAATTAAATCGTTTAAAACATAAAACATTTCCCTAGTTTACAGAGTATATTCAAAAGATTTTCAACAACGCAATGAAGTCACAGATATAAAACTGTATGATCCTTGTGTTGTTTTCTTGATTCAACCACTTAATATGATCAAATAAATAACCTAAACTGAAGCTTCTAATAAACTGATCATCACACACCAGTTGTGTGAAGTTTGGTGCCATTAGTAAAAATTGGTGATGTTTCTGTAATTAAAACAAACATATTTATAACAGCTAATTACAGGTGGTCATCCCAGTCCTGCCACAGAAAAACAGAGGGAGATGAGGAGAGTTGACACGGAAAGCGAAGAAACAATACAACGCGAATATAACCTATATATAACTGCAGGTATAAAACATAGGCTACATTTTTCGAGGACTTACAGTTTTCTTCATGCGGCTTATAGTGCTGGAGGGATTACAACGACATAAAAGTAAGTAAATAATAACTGTAATAATAATTGCGCGATTTATCTAGCTGCTAAGTCTTTATATGTCTTTTACTGCCCCGTGTGGCTAGTTGAAGTACTGCAGCAGTTGCGGAGAGCATAACAAACCGAAGTATCGCGAGATTGAGCGGGGACTGCAGCCCCAGCTGTGTTGTGTTGGTTATTGTCAGAGACCCAAAGGAAGGGGAAGTTATGGCAGATACAAAGGCCAACGCTTCTCAAACATCTGTGATGTGTAATTTAGCCATTCTGTTACAAGTGCCCTTAGTACCTCTGCTGGACTGTTAGCTGCTGTATAGGAGGCACGGGAACACTTCAGCAGGTAAAAACAATTGATTCGCGCGCTCCACAGTTCGCGAGCGCATCCCTCAAACCGGTTTCAGGTCGCCAAAACTGGATTGAACAGCTAGTCTGCTCATTTACATAACGTTACCATTTAACAATTATTGTCGTATTTGTCAAAATATGTGGTGGTGTTCAGTAAAAGATTAATTGTTCCTTAATACTTTCAAACTTAAGCGAAATAATGTTTGAAAACAAAAGCGAGCTGTTGTGCTTAAAGCTAGTGCGTTAGCTTTTGACGTAACGTTAGCGGAGACCAGTACTGGGAAAGTGAGCAGCATTAACGTTACATAACATCAGCAGGACAGCTCGTGTAATCCCATTCCCAGCATGCACTGACTCTCACGACACTGCTGCTCACTCTTGCGTTATCACTTACATTTTTTAAAACCGATTAGTCTAATTGTAGATTCAGATTCATTTGTAGTCTGTATAGCATTAAGTATCTTCTCAGTCAACTGGTTTATATTGCAGTCAGTCAAAACTTCCTTATGTTTTTTTTATGGCTTTTGCTTGTTCCCTAGCTCTTTCTGTCTTTTACTGGCTGTACTCGCCCTGGTGTCCCACAATGCTGAGTGCGCAAACCTCAGCTTGTCAGCAAGATCAACCTGTGCTCTAGCAGTGGTGCGTTGGCTGCCCTTCACTGGTAAGAGATGGTCACATTTGATTTAATGAAGCACACGTGTGTAGATAAGAATAGATATGTTTTTGAAATCTAAACGTGTGTAGATAAAATCTCTCCCAGCTTGGAGAGATTTCCATTTTGCTAGCACTAAAAATGATTGATTAAAGAATGCATGGTCTCAGATATACATACATGGTTACTTTGAAGTACCCCCACATGATCTACATTTATTATGTTAGCTGACAGAGGTATGCATTAGAAATTATTTGTCACTACTACTAACTGCATAATAAAGATGTAAATGTGGTCTTAAATAGAGTTTCGTTGTATTGGAAATGGGAAGAGTGAGCATATGGTTAAATGGCGGACACCACATGGGAATGTTTTAGAAATGGTGTGAATAGGGTTGGGAGATAATGGACAAAAAATTTGTACAATATATTTTTTCGGTGTCATTCAATATCAGTATTTATCATGACATGTTTAGTTCATACCATTTTTGGAGAAGGAAAGGCATACCACATGTTTGTTAGACCTCAGGAATGAATATAAATGTAACCTTCTTTGTTTATAAGTAAGCTACCTATTAAACAAGTTTTTCCCTTTTTTTCCCCTCTGGATTCTGTTCTTTATGACAGATTTATTATCAAAAATGATGTCTAAAGAAACTAATTCCTAAAATGTTGACAGTTTAATTAATCTTTTAAAATAATGAATTCACATCAAAAAAGGCATTTTTATTTTTGTCAAGTAAGGTGCTGTAAAAATTAGTTTACTGTATAAATTAAAACATTAATTTAAAAATGTGTATTATTCTTTATAATAATATGTTTAATAATAATAATAAACATAAGGTTTTAATAAATTGTATTGATGTAATAATAATAATTTATTAGTACAGTCAGTACAGGTCAGTATAGTATGCTTAATTTTTTACATAAACTTATCTGTTATGCTGAATGACAATAGAACTGTATTTCACCAATGTTTTAACTTTTTTCACATTTAAACATTAAAGTAGACACATTACTTGCATTCAGAATGCTTTCTATGTACATAGAATCAATTTTGTAAATTTAATTTGATGCGGACACCAAAATGGTACATCTTGTCTTTGACATTCAGAATGCTTTCTATGTACATAGAATCAATTTTGTAAATTTTATTTGATGCGGACACCAAAATGGTACATCTTGTCTTTGATCCTCATTAGGGTTGTGACGGTGAGGAAATTTTCCCACCGGTGAAACGTGTGACAACACCGGTAATACCGGTATGTTAGCACCCGGTTGGTTATGCATGAAAAAAAAAATACCGTCATGTACCGTGAAACCGGTATAATTTTGAAAAATACCGTGATATAAATTTTTGGTCATACCACCCAGCACTAGCCTGAATGCACTGTAAGTCACTTTGGATAAAAGCGTCTGCTAAATGCATAAATTAAAATGATAATTATAAAAATTTAATGATATTCCATCATGCATGCTTCAGTATGTGCAGTAGATGAAACCACAGCTCTCACTGAACACAAAACATGAAGATTATGCAAACATTTTAGCATCATGCATCTGATTGTTTAGATGTAGGCTAGATATTGAATACTCTATTAAGTTTATTATCAATGTTGTGTATTATCACACAGCCCCAGGTGTGAAATATTTGTCCAAAAATATCAGGGATCTTTGAATTTCAGCCACTCTGTCATTGGTGATGATGTTGTGTGATCCAGTTGGAGTGCGTACCAGAGGATTGCAGAACTGTCTCTTTAATGATTAATCTGAGGCTGTTGGGTGGTTCTTTGGCCTTAAACACAAATATTGCTCGGTTAATATGTTACTTGTTCCTTTCTCTTAATTTCATCTGTAGATTTGATCCAGTCCCATCTGATTGGGTTTGTCCAGGCTGTCTTCTCTTTTTGGTCCAACAGCAACACTTCATTCAGTAGCCATAATGTCCAGACCTGTAGACCTTCCAGGTAAAGGAGAGAGGCCTGTTTATTTTACAAATTGCAGTGCATAAAATTACTTTCTAAAGGCTTGTCAAGGGTTTTAACATACTTTCACCTTTGTTTTAAATAGCTTTAAGAGACAATATATGACAGATATGACAACAGTTTTTCTTTTTAAATGCATCAATTTGTGGCTTTTTGAAGTAGCTGTGTGTTCAGATGTTGTTGACACAGTGCTTTGCTCTTTTACCTCAGCCCTGGAAGCAGGTCCAGGTGCTTCAGAGGGACTCCTCGGGGGAATGTCCATCCCTATAGGGATGACCCGTCGAGCTCTCAGCTATGACGATAATCTTGAGCGCCCTATGTCTCCACCTCCATCTGACATTAATATTAACAACCTGTGGAGGCGACCTGTTATACCTGAGAGGAAGTTTGCACGACTTGCTGAGGTGTGTGTGCATTGCTTGTCTGACCAGATTTATTACTAATCTGACTCAATTTATTTATTTATTTTTTTTTAGAAAAATTATCATTTTTTAAAACGTATTTTAACCACCTGGGGGCACTCCATACCACAATTTAGGAACTGCTGTTGTAGGCTAATTCTAACCATTCTTCTGGTATGTCCTGTTTGTGTTTAGGAGGATGAGTCAGAAGGAGGGGTAAAACAAAGTGCTACCTTTGAATCCACTAAACCTCCAGTCCCTGTGGTGAAAGCCAAAGCCTCGTCTGTCATGAATTCCCTCATCATTAGTAAGAATGTTATGATGACACTGCCTTATGCATCACATTTCAAGTGTTAACTGGTGTAAAACTGTGGCCTTAATGGGACCTGTTACATTGCGTTGCAGAGCAGACCCAGGAGAGCATGCACAAGTTTGAGAAGCAGGCAGGACTGACTGATACAGGCTACACTCCTCACAAAGGCTTGAATGCAGAGGAGACCCGCTACCATCGTCTGGCAGAGTCAATGCATGTAGGCAGAGATCCTCGGTTCAACAGGCTCAAATGTAAAAGTGATCGGAAATCTCCAAAATTTCGTTTAATGTATAAATCATGTGTTTTGGATGTTGTAGAAGCTTCAAATGCAAAGCGTAGATGCCAAAGAAGAGAAACAGCCATCGTCTGGTCAGTCGACGCCTGCCGGGACCCCTCAGTCCTCACCCAAGCAGAGACGCAGGTGCTGAACGAGTCAGCAGCTTTACATCCTTTCTTTTGTATTAATCAAATTGTGGGCTAAAAAAATGAGATGGTAATTTGTGTTTGGCAGGGGATGGTTCAGCAGTCAGGGCTCCACCGCTTCTCTCACAGGCTCTGAGATGAGCACCAGTTCCAGCTCCAGTATAGATCTGGCTTCCAGTGATGGACCTGTAGAACGCTGGGGCGCTTTTGGACCACGACCTCAAGTCAGCAAGTCCACAACTGACCCAGGTACAGATCCAGCCATAACAGGTAAACCAAATGATGCACTTTACATCTAAACAATCCCTTCTGCATATTCTCTTTAAATTTGAAAATTAACCAAATGACCACCAAGTGTGTTAAAATAAACCTTTATAAGTAGGGCTGTGAATCTTTGGGTAGACAGCAAATCGATTTGATTCACGATTCATAGGTTTCCAATTCAATTCAAGAACGATTTTTGCTAATTCAAAATGATTCAATTTGATTTGATTCAATATTAAATTCGATTCGATTCGACTAACGATTCGATTCTGCATTCTTTAAGTGCATTCACAGGATTATTTAAATGCTTCCCCTAAATTCTTTAAATGCTTAGTCAGGGGGCAAATTACACAGCAGCCTTTATGGTTAGAGAACCATAGGTTACATACAAATGTCACACCATGGGCGTAGCCATCATTTCAGAAGTGACAGAAATGTCAAATACAATAATTGTATGTATGTATTTTAATTATTACTTTTCACAAGGAATTCTTTTCTTATGTTACTTTGAATTTGCTATAAGAAATCAAATACACTGCTAAACAATAATCAATCATTTGTAATCTATATTTTTTTCCTAATGGCAATTTTATGATTGTTTTATATACTACTAACAATTATTTCTATTTTCTGCACAGAATAAGGTAGAAAATATACTTTATAGTTTCTGTACTGTAAATAAATATGTCAATTAGCACTGCATCATTCATACATTTTATTTATTTATTTATTTATTATGTGTATTGTCAGTTCATTCTGCTTTTTATTCAGATTAGCTGCAGATATAGCCTGGCCCGTCTTAAGTTCTTTGACCGCGAGATCACTTCTCTTACAGTGCGAAAACTTCTTTATCTCATTTTCATAAAATAAAATGCTATAGTATTTAACTTTTCCTCTCCATCGGCGAATGATGATTCTGAAAGAAAACGCGCCCGATGTCTGTTTGCTATAGCAACGAACGCTACTTTCATGCATCTGATTATCAGATAAACCTTGCGTTCTTATTTCAAGGTTGTTGTTAATGCTGTAGTTATTCTAACAGTTTCCTTCGTACATTCGGTTGAACAACATTGTTAAAACACTCACTTTTGCATTGCTGGCCACGAGTACTAAGGAGAGATCACACATCAGCTGCTCAAAAAAATGTGTCAGTGAGACGAACGGAGCGTGAGCGCAATTTTGTGACAGTCAGAGGCGAGGACAAGAGAGATGCGAGGGCATGAACACTGTTCAAGGTCTCCATTAATTCGTGCTTGTAGTAATTTAATGTGTATATATTTATAATCGTAGTAATCGATTTAAAACGTTACGAATCGAATGAATCACTATAGAAATCGCGAGTCATTGGATTCGTAACGTTTTAAATCGATTACTGTCCGAAATCGATGATTCACGATTAAAAAAATCAATGTTTCAAGATCGATGTAATCGATGCATCGAGAAATCGTTACACCCCTATCAGTTAAGCAATCAAAATCAACAAAAGAGCAACCACACGCAGTCTTAACGGACTTGCAGTGTCCGTGTAAAATCAGAGTTGTTTACACTGTTAAAGAGTTGGATTCTCATGCTAAGCATGGACAAAGTTTCAAAAAACA